AAATTAGTGACACATCGAAAAGATTCTGACCATCCAAGCCAAACAAAAATTGAAGGAAACCTTTTTTTTTTGTTACATGTGTGACTGGCATGAGACTTCAATTTAATTAAAAAAAATTTGAAAGTGATTAACACTTCTCATGACCAAGAGCGGAACTCCTTAATATTTATTATTAGGGTATTTTTAAATTAAATTAATTTTTTTGTATTTTAAAATAATTTTAAATTTGCACTTCTTATATTTGTATAAATTAATTTTTTTTAAATGTTGATTTAAACTTTAAATCTAATTTATGAAAAAATATTTATTTATAAATTTAAAAGAAGTGCATTGATAACCAAATTTATTTTCTTTCAGGCAAACATTACATTTTCTCCATTTATTATCGTGAAGAATGAGGGGATGCTGGAGGTGGAAGGGATGACTGACCTCAAGTGGTAGCTCAGCACATTTCTCATGGATGAAAAACCGGCACTTGCCACAGCTAGAGGAGGAGGAATCCTGTACTGGTTCCTTGCATCTGGAGCATGAAGCTTTTGCACTTTCGTCTGTGCTCGTCTCTTCCACAACCACCAATTGATGTTCATGGACAAAAGTATACCTGATCGGGATGCCAAACTCGCAAATAGAGCAGTAGTAAACAAATCCCTTATAATACATGTCCTCATGTAGTGGGGATTTGGCTAAGAGAAAAAGAGGGTGTTTTTGGTGGGTATGGTGAGTGATCTCAAGAGGTAGCTCTGCACATCTCTTGTGGAGGTAAAATATGCAATCGGGACAACAGTAGAAAGGACTTGATATGCCTCTCTCACATCCAGGGCAAATTTTATTTTTTTCTTCAGAATCAATATGTTGAACAAAGATCAATGGATAGTCGTGGCTAAAATGATGAAGCTTTTGAAAATCTCCAGCAACAAGTTCTGGATGGGTAGCGCATCTAATGTCAAGGTCAAACTTACAAGAAGAACAGTGGTAAGCAAATCCCTTCGTACTCCTTTGGCATAGATCACAAATAAAACCTCTGAAGGGCACATAGGGCGTAACAGAAAGAACAAGAGGATGTTCGTGGTGGAGGGGGTGATTGATCTCGCCTGGTAGCTCAGCACATCTCTTGTGGAGGAAAAAACGGCACTTGCCACAGCCGTAGGTGAATCCCTCCACAGCTTCCTCGCATCCAGAGCAATAATGTTTTGGGCTTTGATCAATACCCGTTTCTTGATCCAGGAGCACCAAACGATGGTGATGGCTAAAGTGATTGATCTCCATATGTTTATCTCAACTGATCTAATCTCAAGAGGCCTGGGATGGAAGAAGACAATAGTAGGGTGGAATGAATTGTGAGCAATGGTGGTGATGGAAAGAAAAATGGCTTTCTGAATTATGAGTCAAGTATTAAAGAGATTTACAACTTTATCTGTTCTTTTATCTATATACACGTTATCAACTTTTAGTTGACGAGAAAAGAAGAAAACTACTAGTCAAGATGTCCAGCTAGTTTAGGCAAAATGTGCAAATTAGCCCCTCTATTTCACTTCACACTTCAAGTTGATGATCACCCGTCAATTTTTTTCACAAGCAAATTAGCCCCTCTAGTTGTGGATCTGGACAGATTAGCACTTATTTAACGGATGACATCAGCTGATGTCATTAATCCGTCCAAGCCCGTTATGTCCGTTACATCCTCCGTCTGACTCTCGTCGATTACCACCCCATTATTATTATTTTTTTTGCTGACCTGGACTTTTTTTTTCTTCCTCCGGAAAACTCGACACGGAATATGTTTTTCCGGCCATTCTTTTCAACACCTTTTTTTTTTTTTGGCTTTTATGGAAGGATATATAGACCAAAACTAAAACTTAAATCAACTTTTATATTAAAGTTAAAAATTCAAAGAGAGGGAAGTTTGCTTGAAAATTCCTAAAATTTTAAGAATCTTTAAGTTTTTGCATTTGCATCTCAAATATGTATATATCATGTGCTTTTAACAAAATCTTCAGAATTAAAAGTTAGAGTACGCTGCCTTTAGTGAGGCAAACTCTTACTTTCAAGTTTTTATATACGAATGTCATTATATTTAAATGGTAGTTAAAAGTTAGTGTAGGTTGCTTTGTGATATTGTGAAAATTAGATGAAGTGGCGACACTATGTAAAGAATTGCTGACACCCTTTCCTTAAACTGAAAACATAGTCCGCGTCGGGTTAAAAAATAAAAAGAAGTCCGTGTCGGGTTCGCTTTGAAAATTATTAAGCGTCGAAACTATGAAAAAAGTGCTGACACCCTCCCCTTTAATTTAAAACATTAGTCCATGTCGGTTTTCTGGGGAAGGAAACCAAAAGGTGAAAAAAAGGAAAAGAAAAAGGTCCAGTTTGGAAGAAACAAGTCCAGGTCAAGAAAAAGAAAAAGACCTAACAGGGTGGTAATCGGCTCTATGGAGCATGTAACGGCCATGACGGACTTGAATGGATTGATGATGTTAGCTGATTTCATCTGTGAATTAAGAGTTTATTACTAGAGTGATTAATTTGCTTGTGAAAAAAAGTTGAGGGACCTGAAGTGAAATAGAAAGGCTAAATTACTTATTTTGCCGTTAGTTAAACGTTAATATTTATTTAGTGATATGCGTGAAAGGAATTTTTTAATATATCATTGGTATTGATATATAGTGTGTTTCTAAAATTAATTTAAAAAAATTAATTTTAAAATACATCACATCAAAAGACTTTAACCATTTAAATCAAATAAAAATAAATTTTTTAATATATGTTTAAAAAGTACAAATTAAAAATATAATCATTATATTTTTTTATTAATTATTATTAAAAAATAAAAATTAATTTTTATTTAAATAATTATTTAATTAAAATGATCCATGTGATATTAATGAAGAAATTAATAATAACTTTTTGTATTTTTAATGATAATTAATATAAAAAAATGTAATAATTATATTCTTAATATTTACTTTTAAAATATAAATTAGACAGATTTAACAAAAATTGAAGGGAACTTTTTATGGTTATATATGACTGGGACTTTCTGTACCAAAAAAAAAAAAATATGACTGGGACTTTAATTTAATTAACAAAAATTAAAAAATAATTAGCACTTCTTGTAACCATCAACAAAAAAGCAAAAAGTCCTCGGTATGAAGATTCGCCTCTTCACGAATAACTACGAAGCAGCGACTGCACTACATCATCTTCACTAATTAATATAACCAGCGTTATGTGTTTGCTCACGTGGTGCGGTTGGTTACATCCGACCGTTGAGCCTCAATGATGGCTCATGGGTTTGCAAGATAAAGGCCTTAAGCCCAGCCGTCATAAACAAACTCCGTGCTACCCATCAAGGATAGGATTGTAACCTCACCGTTTTCAGGCTCTGAACCTCTTATTTTATTCCCCCTGAAGTCCAGTTCATTCGGCTGTGTGTGGAAGAAACTCCTACCAAACTACGTTGTTTTTGACCTTTCCATTCTGCCAGAACCCAGGAAGCTACCTGTTCATTCCCATGACAGTTCCTCTAACTAAATGGGTTACTTTCAAGCCATGGGAAAATACTCAACAAATGAGCTTCATCAAGGGAAACTTTTCCATGTTGCCAAATGTTTACTTTCAAGACTGGTGAAAATTTTGCCTATTGTAACTAATTGAATCAGTTTTAATGCATCAAAGAGAAAATTTTCCATCTTGCTTTTTATGCCAAGCATCAGAGTATAGTATTAGTTATGCTGTTCCAAAACTGCAATTTTGATGTGATTCAAACTTTTTCCTCATGCTCGACCGTTGCTTACTCAAGCACTTGAACATGAAGAATTTGGGGAGTTGGTAGATCTGAGGCTGGAAAGAATTACGTGGTTTCAGAAATGTTTCGAATGATTGAGGCAGCTGCAGCCTGTGTGTGACATTGAACTGCTAGAAGGCTACGAATGAGTCAGGTAATTATGCTCAAGTAACGTAGAGCTTTCTTGATTACTCATTAGGCCTGATGATTTTCCCCCCACAATCATATCTTAGGTGGCGAGAGCTCTAGACTCCTTGGATGAGTTATCAGATCTCATAAATGGAATGAAACCTGGCCAGAGTGAGGTCTTTGATTCAGCGCAGCAATCCGCACAAACTCAGAATGTTTCAGAGATTGGCATTCAGTAATCAAGACTACAGCTCTAGTTTCTTTAATCAAACCCAGAGTACTTGGGGAAGTCAAGAACGTGTGAGTCAAGGTAGCTAAAGAACTCGAGAATATGTTAGTTGGAGTAACTAGAGCCAAGAGCATAGGGAGATACCTTAATGCCATGGATGCATCTCGATCGGTTGTGCAAATCCAGACATGTTTCTGTGCATGCTCAGACTTCGGAGGCACATTGGTCAGAAGGGATAGCAATTCACCTTTGATTCTGGAATGAGCTTCAACATTTGGAGAGGATGAAATCAGCTCTTGACGCTCATTTCGTTTCCATGTATAATGTGCATTTTATATATTTTTAGCTTCTTGCGTTGGCTTACATGATTGTTTGAAATGAGGGAATTCATTTTTTATTTTCCAAAAAAAAACATGATTTTCCACATAATTTTTAAGCATCTATGCAGGTTGATTTAGCAAATAAGTCTCTCAACATTATTAGACAAGGTGTTAAGTCACAAAAAAATCTCCCCTAATGCAGAATAATCATCCAAAGGATTCAATTATAGAATACATGCAAGATAATAAAGCATACAATACCAAGAAGAGCTTGAATTGGAGTCAAGGTTAAGGGTTGAAGTATTTGTACTGCTAAACAATTAAATTTTGAATCTATCAAGACAAAAAAAATAAAGTGTAGAAAGTAGAATAAATGGGAAGAAAAAAAAAAAGAGATCAAATATCAAAAATATCAAAAAAGAAAGGGAGGAAACATCCATTTTTTGCTTTTAAAACACACAAACACCCACACTACTAAATCGTTACAATTAAACTTCAACAAATAGCCATATCCAATATTTGCTTGCAACAAAAATATGTACTAGACACTAGTCCAAACACATCCCAAATAGAAAGAACATACTTAAAATTAGTTAAAAAGAAAGAACTGCAAATGAGATGTCTCATTAATATCATGACAACAAGACAACAATGGCTCACCTCCTTAGAGATCTGTATGTAGAATATTCGCAAGGGATAAACAATACCAGTGGCGTATGTAATTGCAATCTGACTCTGTGCATTGAATGGCTAGCTCATCTCTGCAAGGCCTATGGCACTTGTTGCATTTAGGAGGATTGAAATCTATCTTCAAAAAAGTGACAGGATGTTGACGATGACCAGCATACCTGAACGGTTTACCAAGCCTGACATATGGAGATCCCTGAAGCAAACAACGAGGATGAGCTGAAACATCACAACCAGCACACTGATAAAACCAATCACTCGGGTCTCTGTCTTCTTCACATATGTCACAATAAAATTGGCTCCAATGATGATCATCACGGAAAGTAAGCGTGAGAGGATGGTTATCATATTTATACTGGGCCGTGTTAGGCAGCACAAGGCACCTGTAATCTATGACAAATTTGCATTTCTTGTCCTTGCATCTAAAACCACCCATAAATTCATAACCAAAACCACAACCACAACTACAACCACAACAACTCCCCTTGTATTTGTGGTCAAAGAAAAGGGGGTGCTCATGTCTTTCAACAGTACAACTGTCCAGAATTTCATAACACCGAATGCACATTGTGCTGTAATATTCATCACGTTTGTAGCCAAACCCACTATTCCAAAACCCGCAATAAGTACATCTAAAAATGATATAGAAAAAGAGTTCCATTGAATGCTTGCTGGCCCAGTGACGTACCTTCTTCAATAACTTAGCACAGCCCTCATGGATAAAGAAATCACAGTCCTCACAATAGTAAAATGAAGTAGAGATGGGACGCATGCAGCCTTCGCAACTTTGGCCATCCTTAACCCCACGATCATTGAATATTAAGTTGTGTTCGTGGGCAAAATGTTTTATCTCTCCAGGTTTGATTTCCGTAAAAGCACAAGAAATATCACCAGTCGAGCCATTTGATGCCGATTGTTTGGACTCTTCTTCTTCTTCTTCTTCTTCCAAAAGATCTTTATCAATTGCACAATTTACATGAGCAAAATAGTTGCACTTCGAACAACAGTAACTCCCATATTCCACATTAACTTCATCATGACAAATATTGCATTCCCTTTCTTTAGCTTCCTTTTCTTGAAAAAAATAGATGTGAGAAAGTCGATGATGATGCCGTGTTATTTT